GAATGCCTTGTGCGCTTTGTGCCCAGCATGCATCTAGAAAGCAGCTTCTCTCAGGAAATATTTGCAGTTCAGTTTGCACTCCTTAAACCTTATTGTTGTGATGGCAGCTTTGCTTCAGTCGTTAGCAAAATTTGGCAGGGTGTCCGCACCTTCAGACGTGTTTGCACTGTGAAGGGAAGTGGTGTGCTGATCCCAGAGGCTTTCTCCTCTCCCAGCCGCTATTAGTTGCTGATTGCTTCCCCCCGACCCTTCTGTGACTATCATCAGTCGCATGGCTCTGTCCTCTCGACACAGTGGATGCTGGCACAGCTTTGCTCCCTCCTCACACCCTCTGAACCCTGCTTCTTGATGTTGGCTTCTCTGGCTGGGGCGCTGAGTTTGTCGGCTCTCAATACAAATGGAGATATGTGGAAGGGAGTCCTGTCTTTCCCTTCTGCTGTTTATTTTCAAGTCAAGGTTGTAGTTTGAATGTTTGCTTTCAGTGACAGCTCCAGCATGTGCTGGCCTCCGGTTCTGTCTCATCCCTGCCTGACCGCTCTGCATAAATGTTTGTGCTGGCACGAAAGCAGGGATGGGAACACACGTTTGGGTGTAGGGAGAGGATGGGGTTGCTTCCTTCGGTTGAAGCACCAGCTGACATTAGCTAAAGGTCTTCTGTCAAAACAGCACCCTGTGTGTGCTCAGAGAAGTTGGCACGTCCGACAGTCTGTGCCCAAAAGGCTGTGCTCAGCTGCAGAGTGGGGCTGCTGGGGAGGGGAGAGCCTGGAAATGGGAGGACTGGTGGAGGGCAGAAGTGAAGAGCCAGACTCTGGGGGGGTGCTGTTGGGAGGACTGGGGGAGCTGGTGGACTGGGTGCCCATGGCTGGCTCGGAGGATGCCAGCAGTGGCTCTGGCCTGGCAGAGGGGGAGCAGGACAAGAAGGAGAGTGCTGAGCTGCGGGGACCCCCAGGGTCAGACAGTGGACAGAGTGGTGGCATATGGGGGTAGAGGTGGCAACCCTCAGCCAGAGGGCAGTGCAGTGGCAATAAATGTGATGAGCATGGTCAAAGAGGTGTTGGTAAGCTTAACCTGTTCCTTCTCTCATGATGTCATGGCTGTGGAGATGTTGGGTGCTTGCATCTCCATCCAAACTTGCTGGCGATACACGTGGCTTGTGATGAGACTGTGTGCTCCCCTCCATGCCCCAGGCTGGGCTGTGATTCTCTGGTAAGCACTTTTCCTTCAGGTGATAAGGTAAGAAGTGAAGGTTAAGAGTCCAGCCCCGTGCACTAGGCTGGTTAGGAGGGCAGCAGGTCCACCATACGCAGAGGTTGGCCATCCTGGAGACCTTACTGTCTGGGCAGCATAGGTGTATGTGTGTGGCAAGGCAGGGGAGCAAATTAGGACCATTTTGCTAGCGGCCAAGGCTGTGAGGACTAGATACATCAAAAGCTGGCTAGGTTTCTATTGTAGTACCCCCACTCTAGCTACCCTGTCACTCTCTGGAGCTGGGTTTTGGGAGCTGGGAAAAGGGAGAGGCTGAGTTGAAGAGGCTCCTGGGCTATCTACACGCTGCAGCGTGGGCTTCAGGCTGTTTGCACCACTTCTCCACTGAGCACAGAGGCGATTCCCTGTGCTGCAGTGTGCGCGTTGCTCTGAAACTAATTTGCTTGATCATTTCAATAAATGTAGAAGGGACATCCTGGTGTGTGAGTAATGGGGCATTAATGCATGCCTGGCTGTGTTAACAGCACTCTAGGAAGGAATGAACGCCACATAATTCATTGCCCATGCAGCTCTCACTCTCTTAATTACGGGATGTATGATTTAGGTCCCCCCTTCCGTGAGGGCTGCTCAGCCCTCAGCTTTGAGGTAGGTCTCTGACGGATCGTGCTTCCTCTGCCCACCCGCTACCAGTTTCCTCCTGGCTCCTCTGCTCCTCATACCATGCAGGTTCCCAGTTCCAGCAGCACAGTTGCCTGCCTGGCCATGAATTTTAACCGTGCGGAGACTTCCTGAGGCATCAGCACCTTTTTCGTGCTGCTGGCTTGTCTGCTGCCCCAGTGCAGGTGCTGATGGGAACTTTCCTGGGCAGATGTAAGCCCTGCAGCTACACACCTGCTTGGCTGCAGAAGCTTTGCTTGCCTGCTTTTGTTTGCATTTTTTGGCTCCCAAGAGCACCGTGTTCCTGGGGAGATACACCTATGTCTCTATTTAATCTCTTTCCTTTCTAGGTTAAATGCATAGTGTTGTTCTGGATTTGTTTTTTAAATATCCTATAAAATTACCAGCATTCTCTTCCCAGCTTGTGTTTTTCCTCCTCTCTGACTGCAGGACTGTAGCAGCTATTTTCTGCCCTGGGAGGGACTGGGGTCCAGCTCTCCCCAGGAGCTCCCTGACCAGGGCACTGGAGGCTTCATCATTTACCATCTTGTAGATTACAGCAAAGTTCTCAGATAGAGTTTGCCATGACTTTGGGTTTGTTTTGCAAATGGTTGTTCGCTGGAGCTCTGTTTAAATAAACAGAGCTCAAATAAGCTTTCCATTTCAGTGCATTAAAATCCCTTAATGCATTAAAATCCCCTGGCCATGGACATTCAGGCCTCCGCTGTGCCAGGTGCTGTATAAACAGATATCAAGTGCTGGTGTCTGCCGTGAAATGATCACATTGCTCACTTCCCCTCGTTCGTCTGCGAGTTGAGTAGCTTTTGTTAGGGGAGATGATACTAGTCCTGGCATTTGCTGGCCGTACAGCATGTTGCCTGGATGGGTCTTTGTGCACTACAGAAGCCTGTAGCTTTGCCCAGTTTTAAACCCAGGAAGGGTGGTTTTACCCCTTCTTGCTGTGCAGCTGCAGCAGGAGCATCGGCTCCCCGGTGGGAAGCAGCAGCAGTTTTCCAGCTGGGTCAGACAGCCAGGGAGGGCTCTGCAGTTACTGGGCAGGTGGAGAGCTGAAGCCAGAAGTAGTGCCCAGGTTGTGCAGAAAAAAAGGGAGAAGAGAGCTAAACCCAGCTGTCCCAAGTTCATCTTAGTGCGGTATCGTCTTCTCCCACTCCCATCACTCTACTTGTGTCAACAGGTAAGAAACATCCCTATGATACGTTTCTGTCTGTCTTGGTCTTTCTCATTCTTTGGGCAATTGGTCATTGGGAATATTAGCAGCCTTGCTATCTTCTCTTGCGTTGTCCTTTGCGCTGGGTGCCGAGCCTCCTGGATGCCCCTCCGCAGGGAAGGGAGCAGCAGGGGCAACAAGGGGGGAGTTTGCCAGAGCTTGGAGCAGGTTGTCAGGACCACTTGGTGTGGGTATTTTATCAGAGCTGCTGCCACAGTAAACACAAATATCCTATTAAGGGTATAGACATTATCAAGTAACTTTCCATGATTTAGGGCTTGTTTATGCCAGCATTACAGGCTTTCAGCAACTGTTCTCCCTGTATTTTTATATTTTGGTCCTATTCTGGTTAAATCGATAGAGAATTAGATTAACCTGAAACAAACTACTCTCGTGGACAAACTACACACACAGCGAAAGGTGTAAACGATTTTCACTCTGGAAGTGCAGATTTAGCTGATCTGGAGATTTTTAAGGTCGGCTTCCACAGATCAGTTGAGGTCAGGTAAACTGTCTGAAGAGGGGTCATGGGAGTGATGGAAGGTGTAATAGTGTAGTGGGTGAGGTTCAGGTGCAGTGTTTTGGAGAGGAGCCCCTTTCCTTAGTGAGCTCCATGTGCTGGTCTCTCATGGCTTTGGCTGAATGTGGGACGCCAGAAAAGGCAGTTCCAGTCTCGTGTTGTCCAAGTGTGAAAATGATTTCATGCTGCCCTGTCCTTGGCACTTGATATAACAGGGAGGGGAGCAAGTCAGTGCTGAACTGTGTGTAACCTCACCCCCTCTCCTTCCCGTACCTGTTTGCACCATCACCAGCTCTTTACACTTTCGGGGACCTTTTATTCTCATGAATCCCTCAGGTTGTATCTTCAGAGCAGAAGTGTGAGCCTGAAAGCCACCTTGTTGGATGTGAGATTCTGTGTGGCTTAGGAAATCTGCAATTAAGGGGCAAATTTCATTCCAGAAGCAAAGGGCAAAGGTATCTCCTCTGCTTCTGGCTCTCCACCCAGGTGGCAGCTGGAAGGGAAGAGGGAGGAGAGTGGCTGAGTGCTGCTGAGATGCCCAATGAAAGCATGGGGTACCTGATTCCCAGGTTGGAGATGAGGAGGAGACAAAGATGCTTCCAGAATGCTGAAGGTTGTGGCTGCTTCTGAAATTTTCTCCCGTGTCCAGATTTCTTTGTGTGGTGACTTCTACCAGCTCTTGTTGAACAGTAGCAATTGGGAGACTTAGGGAGAACCATTTCCTGCAGACTTGGAGCTTCAGTGATGTGCCAGTAGGCACTGAGCTGAGAGGAGTGGTCCTAAGGGCAAAGTCACATCAGTAGCACGGGGAGGGAGAGGCACTACTTAAAAGACAGTGTTGGCACAAGACTGAGCATGGACTGTCCATTTGGGCTGGGGAATAGAGGAAGGATTGTAACCACTGGAGGAGCAGGTTTTTGAATACTGTCCTTTAGAAACAGCATATATGTGTTGGAGAGAGGCGCTGAATGGGTCTTGCAGCGGCATGTGATTGTCTTGGGGTGGCTGGGTGGACCTGCAGAGGGTTGGAGGTCCACATGGTGTGGTGTGAAACGTTCCCTGAAGTTCATGAGAGCTGTGACTGCTGACCTGGATGCTGGGCAGAGCTCGTGCACTGCCTGGCTGCTGCCCTTCCGCATGTGCTGCCGGAGCCTGACGACTCTGGTAGATCTTCCCTCCATATGTGCTTGTATATTTATGTACATACACACATTTATAAAGCTCCCTCTGGAGCTCAGTCTCTTCTCTGAGGAGACCAGGTTGCTGTCTTAGTAAGTCACTTGTTCCTTGGCTGGCCCCACCCTGCAGCCTGCCCAGTAGGACCTGAGCTTCAGGAAGAGTGCAAGTGTCTCAACTTTGTCTCCTTGGTGTCCTTCTCTCCTTTCCCAGGAAGAAACGGAAGTGAAAAAGAAGTGACTGAAAAAGAAATTAAAGAACGATTTGAAGGAACAGATCCATTTCTTAACAAGATCAAGTTTGAATTAAATGGCTGATAAACAGATCAGGTAACTTTTAAAGAAAATTTTGAGTTGTTGGCTGTGCTTTAGATTTTTCTTTTAAAGTGTGTCAAACTTAATCCCTTTTGTGATACAGGAGGTTGGAGGAAATCACCTGATCATCTCTTCGGGCCTTAAACAGTTCTGATTCCTTCTCTGTTCCGTTCATACCTGCTTTCTTTTTTATCCTTCTCTTATTTTCTGTCTTTGCCATGTCTTCACATCTCTGCTTTCTTCAGTTGTTTTTTTTTCTCACTGCCTTTTTCTTTCTGCCCTCTGCTTTTTACCCTGCATGACTCTGTTCCTTTTTGCTTCCTCTTTCAAAGGTCAGCTTGACCTGCTGACTTCAGCTTGCTGACATCAAGGGGGCAAAGCCAGCTCCTTGACCAGCCAAGGATGCAGTGCTTGTAATTACAAAGTCCATGTAGATGCAGCCTTGTGCCCCTCTTCTGAAGCCAGTCGATGGTTGAGTGATTGCAGGAACATGAAGTACCAACAATAATTAGTGACACTTAAGTGCACAGCAGGAACTTAAGAGCGTTGGGCTGGCATATGCAAAGGCTGGATTTGAGTCCTCCCTGGAAATTAAATGGGGTGCATTTTCTGGAAAGATACTTCTGTGCCCTTAGCTTCTTAAGAGCTGTGTCAAGTGGATCTGCACAGTCCTGCATGTGGGTTTAACTTTCTGCTGCTTGTGAAGTTGCTCCATATAATGACTACTTACATGCTGTGGGTTTCCTGTGGGGTTTTTTGTGATCCTCTTCTTAACATCTACTTTTCCAGGTTACCAGCTCAGGACAGGAGGGGTCAGTGGGTGAATGAAACCTGGTGACAGAGGGCCAGGACGTGGCAATGCCTACAGGCAAGAGGGCTGCCTCTTCTTAGCGTTTGCAATGATTAGGATATCTTCCTAATGTGCCTGTTTTCTGCAAATGAAAACAGTCCTGAGCTGCACTGATAACAAGATATCATTGTGGAGTGTTTATGTGCCTAAATTTGCCCATCATCAGTTACCCAATTTAGAGAGCACTTGGCACTCTTCTCTTACACCCATGAAGCGCACACTGAGATTCACCTCCATGGAGCCTGGCGGGTGTATGTCCCTGATAGCCTCGGCAGAGCAAAAGGACCAGATGTCCATGGCCATCTGAAGTTTGGTATTTTGAAGGAAGGAGAGATGCAAGATCTCCCTCAGCCCCTCTGATGTGCTTTTGGCAGTGTGAACAGGAGCTTGCTGGCTACAGGGACTAGTTAAAAGAACTGAGGAGGAGCACTAGGACAACTGGGATGCCTTTCTCTGTCTCTTTGTGTTAGACTGAGCAAATGGCTTTATTTGTATGCTAGTCTGTGTTGTCCCCGTTTCACTAAGCCCTGCGCACCTAGGTAGTGAGAGGCAGTAGCTGTGCAGAAGCTAAGTAGGACGGAGAGACCAGGCACAGTGGATTCTCATCCCGTGAGGGAGCAGAGAGCACTGAGGTGAAAAGTGGGATGACTTAGTCACAAGGAAAAAAGCTTTTGATTCAGGGTGCAGTGCCCTCTGTCTCGGGTTCTTCTCTGTACCCCAAATCCCTCACCTCTCCTGCTTAGGTTATTTCTCCCATCTGTGTGACCACAAGTGTGCAGCGGTCACAGGCAGCCAAGCCAAGGAGATCTGTTTAAGCTTGGAGGATCTACCAAACCCTTCTTCCCTTGCAGTGTGTATCTGTCATCCCTTGGCAAAACAAGATTGATCCCAAAAGACTAAAATCCACAGCAGCAGTTTACTGCAAGGTGAGATCAAGGGCATTGCATTTCTGCAGCAGTGTACATGGAACTTGATCTCAGTGTCTCGCCAGATGCTGCTGCGTAGTCCATCTGTACTAGTCTTCCTCTGCAGCTTGCATGGGGCAACCTGGATGGTTGGATTCGGGTGCAGTGGAGGTGTTGAACAAGGGTTTCTCACCTACAAACAGAGTGAGAGGCTCTCTGCAGCCCATGTTGCCCAAATTTTTGGCTGGCCCAGGCACATCAGACTGTTCCCCTTTATTGCTGGGGTCTGTGCTGAAATTGGGGAATCTTTTGCATTTAATGGTGCCAGTAGGCAAGATGTTTGCCACGTGTCTGTGTCTCACTCCCACCTGATACACACCCTGTGATCATTTCACTGTTGGAACAGGTTGAGAGAGGCAAGTGTCTGCCTGCCCTGGGTGTTTCAGGGACACTTAGAGAAGCGATGACAGTGCTGAGGCTGGAAAGGGGCACTGCTTGTGCCTTGCAGTCTGTGACCTGCCAGCAGTGACTTCGGAGCTGAATCTGGGGAGGCTGATGTCATTCTGTCTTAAAACACCCTCCTTCCCAGCGGTGCCTCCATCTTGACATGCTTCTATCTGGTCTCTAACCTCCTTTTTCAGTGTGACCATGGTTGGACTTGATGATCTTAAAGGCCTTTTCCAACCTAAATGATTCTATGATTCTATGGGTTAAATAAGGAGAGAGCCATGATGTGAAGCTTACTGTCTGAAATTTTCCCATGCGCTGAGAAGAAGTTGAGTGCAGGCAAACATCTCAGACTGTGGAGCAAAGATCCCTGAGGCAACAGAGCCTCGAGCTGGTGAGATCTTGCAGTCTGGCCCTGCGCTGAGCTCACGCACTGATTTGGGCCTGCCTTCCTAACAGTGCTGTGCTTGATTTAATCTGTCAGCACCATCTTGTTTGGGGATGTGGGCTGAGCTCAGGTCTGTCTGCCTGTCTTTGGCACCTCTTCCAGCTGTGCCAGCCCTGGGGCTGCATGTGTGTGTCAAGGTCATGCTTAGCACTTGTGGGCAAAGACTTCTGGGTTGGTTTTTTTTCTACCTCTTTTTTGCCTGCTTCCACCAGGAGACCTTAAGTTGAAACTGTGAGTCTCCGTATCCTGCCTTTCCCTCGAGCCTGGAGCTGAGAGGCAGCTCTTTCAGCATGGCCACTTATTGATCCTCTCTGCAATTGCCCTTTGATGCAGAGCACTCTGCAATGCCGCTGGTGGGGAGAACGTGTCTGCAGAGCCTCACCCCACCATGCCATGGCCAGCCTCACTGTTTCTGCTTCCAGTGGGTAATGCAGTCTGTGCCCCGTCCAGAGCATCGTGTCTGCACCGTCATGAAAGGCAGTGTGCCCGTTCCCGCTGGGAGAGGACTCAGCCTTGCCGGCTCACCCAGCTGCAATCTAGGACTTCTGTCCGTTTAATATCCAACACATCCTGTGTTCAGGGAGCAATATCTTGTACTTTATTGGAAGGAGCTGACTCAAACAGGCTTCCTTTGTTTCTGTGTGTAGTAGTGGTTTATTGACCACATAAGTGCTGTACGTTTTTCATAACTGAATTTGCTGGGAACCCATGTTTAGCTGATCTGGCTTTCACTCAGCACCACTTGCAAAAATTCCCTGTGGGAACACAAAGGCAAGCAGAAAAAGCCCTGCGTTTTGGAAGCACATGCAGGCAGCCAGGTTTTGATTTCCCCAAGAGGTATGAGCTCACGTCTCTGCATCTGCGGCTGTGCAGGCTGCCAGTCCAGTGGTTTCGCCAGGCTATTGGTTTGTGTGTGTTCCCCTTGCCCCGGGCAGTGGGTCTGGAAACAATTTCCTGGAGCTGCAGCCGTCTGCTCCTTGGCTGCCAGCTGGGTGCTTCTGCTGGGCTCGTTCCCACATGATGTTAGCAGCTGACGTGTCACGTACCTCTCATTAGATGCATATCTGATTGTGGTGCTGAAAAGCATTTGCCAGTAAACCTGCTGGCTTGGATGCCATCAGGCCCTAGCTGAAGGCTGTACACGTGGTAGACAGTGCAGCACTCTTTTTTTTCTCCTCTAGGGACAATAGAAACACTTGGGTCCTGGGGAACAGGGTTTTTTCTTGCTCTTAGTGATGTGTGGCTTAGCTGTTTGGCTCCACTCCACTCATCAGTGGTTTGTCCTGATGCTATGTGCTGCTTTCCCCTCCTCCCCTGTCTGTATAGCAAGGGCCAAGCTTTGCCTTGAGGCAGAGCTCCCTTCATGCTCGGGGACACACAGCGATGCGTTAACTCTGGTCATGCAAAAGAGCTCCATTCTTTCCTTTTTCCCTCCCCTGATGTTATCCTAGTGCTGAGATGTCTATTTCTCTGCATCTCATCCCCTTACAGTTTACCTGCCAAGCTGATAAATGGAGGGATAGCTGGGCTGATTGGCGTCACCTGTGTATTTCCCATTGACCTGGCAAAAACTCGTCTGCAGAACCAGCAGAATGGCCAGCGGATGTACACCAGCATGTGAGTACCACCCACGCGGGCAGCATCCCCTGGGGATTTCAGCAGGGAGTCCTTCCACTTTGTTACCTCTTTCAGGTGAGTTCAGCGTTTCTAGAAACTGGGCTGTCCCCAGGAAAGCCAGGGGACAATCATGAACCAAGCTGTCCTGGAGCAGATAAAGCAAATAAAGCAGCTGTTTGGGCCGCTGAGCCCAGCAGGCAAGGTCTCTGCAGAGGGCACATCTGTTTGCATCCCTTGCTTGGGAGCAGTATGTTCACTGCTGTCACGGCTCAGGATCAAAACACAAGGAGCCCTGTTCAGTTCTTTGCTGGGCCACAGTCAGGTGCATGAGGGAATTTCTGCCTCTCTTCTATTTCCATGACTCTCATATTGGAGGTTACAATCCTTTCCTTTTCTGTGTCAGTTTTAAAAAGAGAAAGCAGTCACCCATTTCCAGTCTAGAGCACTGCATGCAGACCTTTTGAAGGATCACAGATTGACACATGTTATAGTTACCCTGGCAGTCCCACGTCCAAAAAAATGAAGTGCTGTAGGAAAAGAAGGCATGAATACATCCAGCCCACCAAATTCACCAGGGGTTTGTGTGGGATGCTTAGGGCTGTATATCTGCTGTGGGAATGTGCACCACACTCAGCACAAGATGCTTTATCCTAGGAACCAGAGTCAGGCCTTAGTTTTCCAAAAGTACTGGTGTCATTAAGGGAGGAGAAGGGACTGGGACTGATGTCCTGTCTTCTGCCACTTTGTTCAGAAATAGTGTTACCTGCTCCCTGATCCTCCACACCAGTATTTTTCCCCTTTCCTGCCCAGGAGAATTTGAGGCAGAGTGGGAATAGCAAGGAAATGCTCTGTATGTTTTAGTGTCCAGGCCTCCTTGCTCTAGCTGACGACATGTTATTATGTGTTTAACCTCCAGCAGTTGAGTGCAGATCTGCTCCCTAGCCAGGAGTTGTTGTGGGATGAGGCATCACTAAAGAATACACAGGATTTACCCTGTATATTTGAGCTGGCTCCTCCTAAGAGGCTGCGACAAAGCCTGGATGTGAATGAGTAATGCTGGAGGTGTTCCTCTGGCATTGGCATCAGC